AGTAAGATTTAGGTTTTAGAAGGTAATGGTTTTTTTTGTTCACCATGCTTCCTTTTAATTTTAGGTAATATTTTCTTTTGTAGCCATTAGAAATGATGTTTATGAAAATTGTTTAATGAAAAGGGGAAATATAATACAACCAATGAGTAAAATCAGATACATAGTTGGAGATTTGCAATGATCTCAGCTATGTTAAGAAAAAAAAAAAGGAAATATGCCTCTGTGTGTTGGCATTATAGGATATTTTCCTGTGCTTTATTTTCATCTTTCAGCTGTTCTCCAGTGCATGTGTGTTATTATTTTAAAAAATTTTGAATTGTTATGATTACAAAAGAGATACATGTATTTGTGAAAACACACAGTATAAATATAAGCACAAAGGATCAAATAAAAGTCATCTATCTACCACCTATAAGTGAACATAAAAGGTTTTGGTGTGTATCTTTTTACCTATGCACATATAATTTAACACAAATGGAATCATAACTGTACACAGCATTCTGAACATTCTATTATAGAAATTTAAGCACATGCAAAAAAAGTTTGGAGACGTGAATAATGAAGTCTCACGTACCCATAACTCAGCTTTATCTGTTATCAACCTTTGGGCAATCTTGTTCAGCATCCCCATCCTTTCCTCTTCTCCCCACCACCTGGATTATTTTAAAGCAAATCCTTAGTAGTATACAAATAGTTTAATATGAAAGTGTGAAATACTGAAAAGAATAATGATTCCTTAATATAATAAAATAATTTCTTCACGTGTCTCACACATGTATTTTTATAGGTGATTTGTTTAAATATGAGTTCTAGTAGGCCCACCCATTGCATTTGGTTGATATGCCACCTAAGATTCTTTTAATCAATACAGTGTGGTTTTTTACATACTAAAAAAATCTTATAAAATATCAAGAACATTTTCGGAATTTACTAAGTAATCTTCTGTATAATTTTTAATTGTACATAGCACAGATGTGCTTTTTCTTTTCCAGTATCACATTCTGTATTGTTTTTACATTTAAAAAAAAAACCAGAAAAGATGGTTGCTTGAAATAAATTTATATACGCAAATGTATCAATGTTTTATGTAATTCATTTTATTCACTAAGTCAGCATGAAATAGTAATATCTAATGTAGGAGGATTTATAGTAATTCTGTTGATTCATTGTGATGTGACCAAGGGCTTAGCATATGGTGGAGTGTAGATCTCTTCATTCGTAATCTTTGTTATTATTCCTAAACTCAGGTCTTTAATTATTACAACATATTTTCCAAGAATGAGAAATGATATATAAATTAGTTGCTTTTTTAATCTTTCTTGCAGATTGCTCTGAATGTTGCAGGAAAAGGTGATAGTTTGGCATCATGGGATGGTATTTTAGACCTGCCAGAACAGGATACCATTCACAAAGATTGCCTACAGTTTATTGGTAAGTTTAATAATTGTTTTTGAACAACAGAAAATTTTGGAAATAATTTTTGGGTGGAAGAACCACTCATTAGTAGAATTATCTTAAAATTTGGGAATTTGTGAAGGGCTTCTAAATAGTTCTAAAACTTTTCTTTTAAAATTCTTGTGAAATAATGTCTAATAACTTTAAGAAAGAAACTAGTTTTTACTGTTTCTTTTGCATTATATGTTCAGTTTTTAATATACATTTTAACAGTTTTTTGCAGTCTTAAACTTGGATTTTATATAATTAAAAATGTGTGATTGTATATAGTCCTCAAATTAAAGGAGTCTGTGTTCCAAAAGTTTATCTAAAAGTCATAGTTAATGATCGGCTATAGAAAAACTGTTGTAAATCGTTGGTGAGTAGGTTTCCAAACACCCCACAAAGTCTATTTCAATTCACAATAAAGATTAAATTAATTTATACTTCTCCTTTTTAATTTATCTCTAGTCCATTGGTATCTTTTTGTTTCTTTTTCTGTCATATTTAGTTAAATTATTGGTCAAACAGGCTTTTGTGTAATAACCACAACAGAAACATTATTGCTGATATGGACAAAAGGAAGGGAATTTGGTGGTGGGAAATGAATTCTTTTCCCTTTCCTTGCCAAAGTTATATTGTCAGTTGCCCATCATTGGGTGGATGATCATCTGTTCAGAAAACACTGTTGCTTTCCAGGAATATGGGTTATGCCTATCTTTGCCTACCCCTCTACTTCAAATTGACCATTCTTATGTTTAACATATATATAGGCCAAACATTATTTAGTGCTAATGTTTAGTAAATACTGATTATATAGAAGTCTTCTGTTTCTTTCCTTTCTTTCTCAAGGAACTAGATAATGAAATATTAAGGGAAAGTGATCGCTATTCTTAATTTTCTTTAAACAACTATTTTGCTTAAAGTTAAAAACAAGAATATTATAAAGTGCTTTGGCTATGTTTTTTTCTTGGGTTTTAGCTCTGTGAACCAATTATTGTTAAATATAAGGGAAAATTTGCTTTTATGTAGTTTTACTTAGCCTTTGTTGTACTCTAAATGTACCAATATATATTGTATATTTGTAAACAAGTGTTATGTCAAATAACTGAGCTTCTAACATGCCCTTGGTAACTTTTTATTTGGAAACTTATTTTCTAGACCAGCTTTCAGTGCCAGAGGAGAAGGCAGCAGAATTACTTTTGGATATTGAATCTGTAATCACCTTTTATTGTAAATCACGTAACATTAAATATAGCACATCCCTTAGCTGGATACATCTACTCAAACCATTGGTGCATCTTCAACTGCCACGCAGCGATTTATACAACTGCTTTTATGCAATCATGAATAAGTACATTCCCAGGTAAAATATGAATTAGTTATTATAGTTTTTTAAAGTGAGTAAAGGTCTAGTTTGCTTTGAACTAAAGTTAGATTTACTTTGGTGGTAAAATAAAATGTTCAAATAATTTTTAAGGTTGTTTGAGCCATAGTTATTTGACTTTATTTTTGGGATTCTAAACAGTTTTTAAAGGATTCTTTAGTTAAGAATTTATACTTCTAAAACAGTGCTTACCAGGGTTGGTGTCAGGGGAGGAAATGGGGAGGTGTAGGTCAAAGGATACAAAGTAGCAAACAGAATGAACAAGTCAAAAGATCTAATATACAACATGAGAATGATAATAATAGTGTATTGTATTAGAGATTTTTTGCTAAAAGAGTGGGTTATAGCTGCTTTTGCCACAGGGGGAAAAATGGGTAACATGTGAGATGAAGGATATGTTATTTTGTTCCACTATAGTAACCATTTTATTATATATGTTTCTTATAACATCATGTTATGTATACTTTAAATATACACAAGAAATTTATTTTTAAAAAAGAATTTATGCTTCTAGAGTTGATATACATAACTCCTTAAGCGTATTTGGTGGTATACCTACTTCAGTTTATTTACACATAAAATAAAAATAACATTACGGTGTCTAAGTGAAAAGTAAAATTTTTGGTGTGCTACCTTATGTGAGTTGCTGGTGTTACAGCCTAGACTGTAGCCCTAAATACAGGCATTGAACAAGTAAATTTAAAAAAAGATTTTTTTCCCTTTGTCATTTTCTTTTGCTAACAGACTACAGGGATGAACAAGTAAAATGTGCTGAATGTTAGGAAGGTGAAATACAGAGTACTGTGGGAATGTATAATGTAGGTGACTTAACTTACCCTGGAGGTCAGGGGTAGATTCCCTGGGCAAGTGGCACTTAAGTCAAGACCAGACAGATGTGTAGGTCATTGTGGTGGGGGGTCATGGTGGTAAGGGGCACGTGTGAGGCCAGAAAGAATTATTGTAGTTCTCAATGCTTTGGATCAGATAGTCGGAATTTTAGAGCCAAAAGAAACTTTGACACTGTCTAGACAAGTGGCTTGGAGACACATTAGAAGCATTGTGGAAGCTCTTAAAAAGCCTAATGCCTATTGCATACCTGATTAATTATATAAAAATGTCTTGGTGATGGAGCCCAGGCATCAGTTTATTTAGAGCTTCCCAATTAATTCCAGTGTGCAGACAAGGTGAAAAACTGCCATTCTGGACCCTGGTAGTTAACTGACTGCCAGTTCTTATTACTTCCTATGTGATACCCCACAATACTAGGCATGAGCATTTTGTATTTTTTCTCATTTAAACAGTGACCACTATAAGGTAGCTCATTATAGCTATAGAAACTGAAGCAAAGAAAGAGATTAAATTACTTTTCCAGGATTACACTTCTGGTGTGTGACTGAATCAGGATTTGAACTTAAGTTTGGATGGATAACCAGTGCTTAACTAATATGGTTCTCCACCCTGGTTGCTTGTTAGAATCAACTGAAGTACTTTTTCTTTTTAAAAGTAACAACTTGATTGAGATATCATTCACATACCATAAAGTTCACCCTTTTAATGCACACAATTCACTGTTTTTCAATATAATCACAAAGTTGCGCAACCATAACCATGATCAATTTTGGAACATTTCATCACCCCATAAAGAAATCCCATACCCATCAGTAGTCAGCTCTCCATTTTCCCCCCAACATTCCTAGCCCTAGATAGCCACTAATCTACTTTCTATTTCTATGGATCTGCCTATTCTGGGCATTTCATGTGAATGGAATCATATCATATACGTTTTTCTGTCACTGCCTTCTTTCATGTTTCATCCATATTGTAGCAATATCAGTATTTCTTTTCTTTTTTCCAAATAATATTTCATTGTATGCATATACCACATTTTACTTACCCATTCATCAACTGATGGACATTTGGGTTGTTTTCAATTTTTGGCTATTATGAATATGCTGCTGTGAACATTCATGTACTAGTTTTTGTGTAGACATATATTTTCATTTTTCTGGGATATGCGTCTAGGTGTGGAATTGCTGGATCATGTGATAACTCTATCTTTAACTTTTTGAGGAATTGCCAGACTTTATAAAGTGGCTGCATTTTCCGTTCTCACCAATAGTGAATGGAGATCCCACTTTCTTCACATCCTCATAAGCATTTGTCTTTTTGATTATAACCATCTTAGTAGGTGTGAAGTGGTATCTCATTATGGTTTTTGACTTGCATTTCCCTGATGTCTAATGATGTTGAGCGTTTTTTCACCTGTTTATTGGCAATTTGTGTCTCTTTGGAGAAATGTCTCTTTAGCCAAAGAACTTTTGAAACATACTGATCCCTAGAGTTTCAAATCTAAGTGGACAGGGTAGAGCCTGGACGTAGGCATTTTTTCAAAGCTCCCCAGGTGATTCTAATGTACACCGCGACTGAGAACCTCTGTGCTACCTTGAAGCCATACTGCTTTATGTAAGAAAAACACACCCAAAGATGCCAAAAGACAAGGCTAAGATCATGGCAGAGCCAAGACTGGAATTCATATTTGGGAGTCATTCTGTTATAATAGGTCTCTCAACTGCCTATATTTCAGTGCTTCTCATGCTTGCTTCTCACTGTAAAAGAGCTCGCAGCAGCAAGGGACATGGTGTCCCAGCTTTGTCTCTAGATAACAGTGCTAGTGGTAGTTAGGAGTAAAGAGAGGGGATTTTACATTGAGCTGTGTAACATACTGTCTTGTCAGGTTCCTCCAGTTACTGTTTTTATGAGTTCCACATGTAACAGCACTCCAGCTGGGGTCAGCATTAAAACCTCTGGAAAGAACACTGGGGCCCCACAGAATGCTTCTAGAAGACCTCCATTTTAACATATCTTCTTATTACATATTTAGATATAAGATGGGTAGAATCCTATCAAGCACAGTGCCTTACAGTTCAGAGTAACTTTGTAGTATACAACTATTAAGTGAATAGATGCTGTTGCAATGGCTGACTCCCAGAGATACCCTACTTTTTCAAAAGATGAGACCATGAACTAGGCAGTTGTTTTTATAGATTATGCCACTATTTACTACCTGTTGTGCCTTAGCGTTCGATTGCCTTAATTTATACAGTGGGGAAAGTATCAGACTAAGGAGGAGGTAATCTTGCCAATATGAATCCAGTTCTGTCTCTGGGCACCTGAATTGCCAGCCTGAGGCCTTCTCTACAAAACTTCCTTGCCATTTGCAGTGGCAAAAAGTGGTAGATCGAGAGTCATACCAAATCCTAGTGTTAGGTTTCGGATCCTAGATTGATAGAAATTATTTTTCATTATTCTCTTTGAATAGCATTTTAAAGCATTTTTATCAATGTTTTAGTGTTAAAACTGTGCCATTCATTTCATTAACTTTTTTACATGAAGCCCTTTACCTTATTGCATTTTCTTTACAGTCTGCTGTACAGAGATTGTACCCCTGCAAAAATACCACTAATTGAAATATCAAATTATATATATGGAAAGAAGCAATATGGTATAATGACTTAATGCCCACTGTCTGCGTAAAGGTCTTAGGTCCATTATCTTTTAGCTGTGTGACCTTTGATGAACTACTTGATCTCAATTAAGCCTCAGTTTTCTCATCTATAAAATGGATATATATATATATATTTCATAGGGTTTATGAAGATAGAATGGAACAACTTTTGTAAAATATGGTTATTACAGTGTCTGTCACATGGTATTTCCTCAATTAATAATGACTTTTATTATGATGGCCTGTGCTTTGAGCAGTTGTAAGTTTTTGCTGATTCATTACACATTATTGCCTCCTTCTTGTGTGACTAGTAGAATGCATGTCAGTACAAAAGCTGAAGGGAGTAAAATTTATAATTAGTGGCTGAAAAATTAGTGAAGCCTACTAGTCCAAATGAAGATCGGGTTAGTCATCACTTTGTTCACAGCAGTACCATGCTTTAACCAACCAAACTGTATGGAAGTAACTATGTAATATTGTCTTTTGTTTTTATTATAACTGTAGTGGTTAAAAAGTAACAATCTCTCTGTGTCCAATAGGATGATACTACCAAAAATCTGATATCTTTTGAGAGATTCTTTTTCCATGAAGTAACTCAGTTAAGTTTTGAGGTATTACAAACATGGACACAATAAAACGAATGAATGTGAATATATTTGTTAGTATCTAACAAATCCTCTAGGCTCCACAGATTTTGTAAGAATGCTGCTTATGTGGGAGTTAGGAGATAAATCTTCTGAGCTTAAGGTCAGGGACTGAGCATGGGAAGGAGGAAACAGCTGTGTTCCCTGAGGAGTGAGCCTAGTGTATGCACCACGTCTGGACCTGCTCCAAGGGATTGTCTTCTTTGGGCTCACATGATTAGGTACCTGGGTGTGGGGACAGTGCCTTTCAGATCAGGGCTGTGAGTGGCTACTGTGACCCTTGGCAGAGGAACCTTAAAGCTGAGCAGGCCGAGATACTTCCTGAGATAATGACTAGAAACTGCAGGGCATCTGTGACACAGAATGCATTTCTAGGCCTTTTATAATTATTTATACTTTTGATGTATCTGCAGTGAAATGTGATGCTTGTTTTTAAAAAAAAGGCATTGGCTGGGTGTGGCGGCTTATGCCTGTAATCCCAGCACTTTGGGAGGCCAAGACAGAAGGATTGCTTGAGGCCAGGAATTCGAGACCAGGTTGGACAACATAGTGAGACCCCATGTCTACAAAAAAAAAAAAATTTATCTGGATCTGGTGGTGCATACTTGTATTCCTAGCTACTAGGAAGTATTGCTTGAGCCCAGAATATTGAGGCTGCAGGATATTAATCATGCCACTGCACTCCAGCCTGGGTGACAGAGTGAGACCCTGCCTCTAAATAAATAAATAAAAACTTTAAAAAGGCATTAAGATATAAATGGTAGAGTATATATTTGGTGCCCTTTACTTTAAAACAATATTCACATTCAGCTTTCCCGTTTTGCTCTCATAATAACCCTTTGAAGTAGGACAGTTATTCAACAAGGTTAGTATTTGGCACCTTTTAGTATTCAGAGCACCTTGTACTCAGGCCACTTCCACAGTTTCTAAGGCCACTATTCTGAAATGTTCATCTGTGGCCATTTCAGACTTGTACCTTTGCTATAGGATATTCCTAATTGAGTGTATAAACCGTGGCGCTAACCAGAAGCCTTCCTAGGAGTTTCCTCTTAGGAAAGAGGAAAGCTTCTTCAGGACTCTCCAGCTCTCCTTTTGGGATCCCAACCCTATGAAAATAACCTAAATGCTGTTTTCAGTGATCCCTGTAGTCCTCTTGGCTTGAGTCCTGCCTGAGTTCACCTGGAGAGAGTCTTCCTAGAGTGGCTATGGACCTGCTGTTCCTACTAACTTTTGTCAAGTCAGGGATATTGAAAGGTGTTAGAAGGAGAGCTCTGCCTGGTACTGTCAGGTAGGCTTGCTGTGAATGCTGTGGTGTTCAGATGTTCTGGGGGTGGGGAGAGAAGGTGGGTATTACAGGAGGATTAATTACTGATGTGGTCATTTCTGACCTATTAATGCAGAAGCCTTTCCTTCTCTTGTCTTCTAGGGATTGTTTCCTGAAGGGGAGACCATTTCATCTCTTCCGATTACTCATCCAGTACCATGAGCCTGAGCTTTGTTCTTTTCTTGATACAAAGAAAATTACTCCAGACTCCTATGCACTCAACTGGGTAATAAAGTGAAAGTAGGAACATTTAATGAAAAATAGATTTATATAAAACTGTAGTTAGGTATGTTTTTTTCTAAGGGAGAGAAAGAAAAATACTAAATTACAGACTGTTACTACTTAAATCAAAGGAGTAAAATTGTTAGCATTTCAAAATAACTTTTTTT